CAGATCGACAGAGAGAGAGAGGGAGAGAGAGGGAGAGAGAGAGAAAGAGAGAGAGAGAAAGAGGTAGAGAGAGAGGGCAGAGAGAGAGAGAGAGAGAGAAAGAGAGAGAGAGAGAGGGTTCCTAAGTAAGTCAATGCTGAATCTGTTGCAGTCTGATATACTATCAATAAATCTGGTATTTCCAATGCATGACGCTTCGTTTGTTGCTTTCACTCAACCTAGTCATAGCGCTACCCTAGAATTGCAAGGTTCTATCCGCTCAATACCAAATCTTCTTCTTCTTCTTCTATCCCGTGGTTGGGGCAACCGTGGGGGCACCTCTGCATCTGAAAACCAGCTCTCGCCATCTATTTTTGTCCTCTGCTTTCCTCAGATTGTCACCCATCGTCTTTCCTGTCCACTCTGTAATGCTGTGCTCCCATATCTTTCTCTTTCCTTGTACGATTCCTTGCGGGATTGTTTTGGCAAGTCCTGTGGATCTTGTGACATGCCCATACCATTTTAATTTTCGTCTCTTTACTGTCAGTAGACCTTTATGCTGCCCCACTGCGTTGGTGATTCTCTTTCGTACCTCAGCCTTTGAAACGTGGTCTTTGTGCATTATGTAGTTTTGAGAAATTGGACGTCAATTTTTGTTAGTTTTTACAGTAAGTCAAGCTTTTTCGAAAGCAATTCTTTGAATAGTTTGAAAACGGCTCCAAATATTTCTTCCGAATTTGACGTAGCAGATAGAACATATTATAATATTTGGTTTCTGGCCTTATGTAGTAACTGAAGATGTCCAAAAATGTCCGATAGAAATTTGTAATTCTGAGATAACGATGAGCTGTTGCTTCTTGTCTTGACTTGAGAAAGTGCGAGGTTCTCTTTTACGTCAAGAATCAGTGGATAGAAGTTTTACAAAAAAGAATATTAATCGAGTCTGTTTCTGCACCCACCCCCTCAGATATTTTGCCCTCTTTCTCAGGGCTCCTGACTCTTTCTGCAGCCTTTTTGCTTCTACTCCTTGGCTCCTTCTTACTGCCGTCTTTCATCCACACCCCTGATCTTTTCGTAGAAAAGGTCTTCACCTAGCCATCTCGGACAAGGATGAAAAATTTCGGAGGTCCCGTGTGCAGGTTGCGCATGTTAAAGATCCCTTGACGGTCCTACATCGATAAGAGTAGGCTTCGGCTGCTATCCTGGCGAAATTCAAAATTTCCTACCAACTGAAAATGTTTTATTTAATTTAATGTGTCCCTCGCGCTCATATGACCTTATGCAATTGCAAGGGCAGTAAAAAACAGTTACCAAAAAAAGTGTCTGTTGTGCAACGATAAGGCGATATGCTGTCGCACTCAGGAGTTCGATTCTCAATTGGGGAGATTTTTATCAAATCATATTAATATCTCGGGTTTTGGGGGGGGGTTTTTGCTGGAATGTTGTATCCCTGTCAGCCCTGGTTTGGCATAATATATAGCCCTGTACCCATTCCCACCAAGGTGAAAAGAGGAAAATTTGTGTAAAATGCCTTTACCAAGAACACAACATCGGGCCCCCGAGGGGATTCGAACTCACGACATTTCTGTTGCGAGTCCATGAGCCTAACGACTAGGTCATCGAGGCCACGATCTGAGGGAACAAGTTCCAAGCTGTGTGGTGGGAGTGGCAGAACCTTGCAATTGTTGTATCTCTGAAGCCAGCCCCCAGTCAGGTTTGCTCTACTCGATGTGGTATTGTCTTGCTGCAAGATGGGTGCTTCCTTAGTGCGGGGTTGTCTGATTTTTTTGATTTTTGATTTTTTTTTTTTT